TGATAAATGACATCATCATTTGCCACATGTCAATCAGGCATAGATCCTCTTTTTATAGTATATATAGATTGATTTTTTTTTTTCACTTTTGAAATAATATCCCGTGCATCATGCATCGAACGGGAAAAAAATGCTAATTTATTGATAAAAGAAATAAAACACCTAAACTTAAATTAAAAATGTTGTTGGTCGGGACCTCCTCACAAAAACCCAAAAAAATATTCCTATAATTCATGAGGGCATGTGCATGACACGTTTAGAGATTATGAAGATATTAAAAAATAAGAGCAACTCCAATGGAGGAACTAAATGGGGTATCAAACTAAAAAACTACCACTTTGATGCTCCAAAATAAAAAAATCCTCCTCCAATGGAGGCATTAAATGGAGAACTATTTTGATATTCAACCACCCCGAGGTGCAAAAATACTCCCTGGAAAATGAGGTATCAAAAATGTAACCACTCTATTAACCTATCACAATTTGCCACGTGGCATTTAATAATATAATTATTCATATATTTAAAATTCGATAATCTATTTGATACTTGTGGTTGGAGTGAATTTTTTTTCTAGAAGTATCAAAGTATTATATCAAGTATCAAATGAATGTTTAATGCTCCATTTTGATGTCTCTCCATTGGAGTTGCTCTAAGTTTTTATTTTTAAATATGGTTGGTTGGATAATCAGTGAAAAAACTATGTTATGATCGTGTGTAAATGTACGAAAAAATCTTAAAATTATTATATTAGTGGCCGGCCCATCATTAGCCAAAATTATAATCAAAATAACCAAACGAGATTCTAGCAACAATCTTTTTTTTTTTTTTTTCTAATTCCCACTTTTTATTAAAGAGAGTTGAACCTAAAATCTCCTATTTTCTGACAGCTCATTTGCAAAACCTTATATAATTAGGCAGGAGTCAACGTTTTCCAGGATGTATAGGACCAAGTCAATAAATTGTTGGATGCCCTTGTTCTAAATATCAAATTTATAAAGGCTCATCAATATATTTTTTCTTGTTTTCTTTTTCTTTCTTTTAATTAGAGTTTTCGAAGTTTTTTTAGGGTAAATTACGAAAACTCCTTCAACTGAGGATTAAATCAATTTAGTAATCTTAAAAAAATAGCATAGTGAAATGTCATTTCTGCAAGGTTAGAATCGGTATTTTTTCAAGAATAATCCCTAAACTCAAAAACATTCCTTGAAAAATCACACAATAA